AAATTTGTTAGCATTTGAAGTTTTAAAAGTTATAAAATGATCATTAAATCTATTGAATTGTTGTTTAATTTTTTTATTATTTATAATATACCAATGATCATTTTATAATAACTTGATAAATTTAATTATCATTTTATAATTTTCAAAACTTCAATAGTTAAAAATGTAATTTCAATATAATTAACGGGTTAGCATGTTTTACAGCGCAGAGTGGTCACTTTTGTCGAAGCGGCGCACCTTTGGGCCACGAGCTTTGCCCACCCTCACTGTCTCCGCACATGCAATGGGTTCTCATAAGTATTTTATTTTTGGATTTTGCTTTACTTTTAATAGTAATGACATTTTTTCTGAAAGAATAATAATGAATTATAATCATTGACCAATCAAAATTACGTTTATTTATTATTATATTGATTTTTTATACTTTGAACTCTCATATTAGAGGTTCATCTCGAAAGATGTGTATGCCTTGTGTTTCTTTTTAGAATGAGATCCATAAAAATATTTTATAATAATAATTAATTTGTCAAATTTAAAATTATAAGAGATCTACGAGGTATTTTTACCAAAATTCATCATATAAAACAATTAAAAATACTGTCAAAATCTTCATTTACAACTTTATATGCAACTTTCCTAATAATCAAATTATAAGATGACGTTTATTTATTATCATGTTGACCTTCTATGCTTTGAAATCTCATATTACAGGTCCGTCTCGAAAGATGTGCATGCACTTTTACTTTTTAGAATCAGGTCCATAATAATATTTTATAATAAGTATTAATTTCTCAAATTTGAAATTATGAGATGTCTACGAGGTCTTTTTACCAAAATTCATCACATAAAACAATTAAAAATACTATAAAAACTTCGTTTACAATTTTTTTATACAACTTTCCTAATAATTAAATGGAAAGTTTGTTTTTCCTTCGAACGCAAATGTTATTAGGGCATAAAGGTTGTACATGGACGAGCTTGAATGATATTCATGTGTGGGCACCCAAATTTTGGGGTTCTATGATGTGCCACATGCCACACTTATACATGGACAGGCCTTTCGTATTGGATTTAGATATGTAGTTTGTGTTCATGGATAGTTTTCTCGCGTCGCTCAACTTTAATTAGCGGTTTATTAGTGATATTTCTGTAGTTTGATCCTTTTTGTGTTTATGCAATCAGATATGTTCGTATCTATCTTTTGTTCGAGTCTTTTGGTTGGATTTGTAATTATTTCCTTATATTGTTCATGTATGATCTCAAGTGACTAATTTCTTATGTCAATGGTCATAGTAAAATATTATAAGTGTGTATAATTTATATTATGATTGTAAATCTTCGTTGTAGTTTTGGATATTTCCTTTTTTAAAATAAAATTAGTGATTCTATTAAAATAATAATAATAATAATAACAAAGTTAATTATAATATTTTTTACATTTAATTATATCAATAACTACTAAACAATATTTAGAAACATCTTAAAACACTCCTCCTGAAAACCTCATTTTATTCCTTATATCATGTATAAGATTTAGTTTAGTTATCTTGTTTGTGTATTTTTAATTCTAAAATTTTAACCTTAATACAAATAATATAAAAATAAAAGAATTAAATCACATAAACTTAAATGATAAAATTAAAAAAATACATATGATTTAAACTTTTAACTTGCCATAATATAATGACTAATACTAAATATTGGTTCAACATATTTTAGATCAGTGTTTAGGTAAAAACTAAAATTTATAATTTCTACCAAACATAGATTGGTTCAAGTGATAACCAATTTGATATCGCTTAAGTAAGATCTAAAGTTTAAGTCCTTCTATATACATAAAATCTTTGCTGAGAGACTCACCAACCAAAGTCAGGTGTGCGACGCAGATCGGTATGAATTAGTCAATACGAAATCTTGGAACCGAGAGGACAACAAAAAAAATTATAATTTCTACCTAATAAAAAGGTTAACAGAAGAATTTGAAAAACAAAATTAATCATACAAATTACATCCATTATTTTAACAAATATTCAAAACTTTTTTTTGTAAACAATTGAGAAAATAATAATATTAAGAAAATAATTTAAAATAGTAGGGTTCGATTGTTTCACTGAAAACATTTTCCTGAAAAATGTTTTCCGTAAAATGAACTACATTTTCTGAAAAACATTTTCTAGAAAATGTTTTACGATATTTGGAAGATGTTTAAATCCTTTTTCCACTAGTTGATGATTTTTTAAAAAATTATTTATTACAAATATTAAATACAATAAATAATATTATTTATCATAAAAATTAATATCATTATTTTTAAAATATTAAAATAATTTATTTATTATTAAAATATTAATTTTATAATTTTATTAATAAAAATATTAATATTGGTATATTTTATTGAAATAAAAATAGTATAAATTATATTAATTATTTATTAAAGTAATAGTGTTATATTATATTTTAAAAATATTAATTAGTATATTTTAAATATCTTTATTAAAATATTATTAGATTATTATATTAATATTAAATATATAATAATATTATTCATTATTAATAATTTAATAATATTATTTATATGAAATTAATAAATAATATAAATTTTATTAATAATTTATTATAAAAATAAAAATATTATATTATATTATTATAAATATTAATAAATATATTTTAAATATTTTAATAAATAATATTTTGATTAAAATTATATTAAAATATTTATTAATATTAAATTCATAAAATAAAATTATTTTGAGTATTTATTCTTTGAAGTTAAAAGTTTGAAAAATGATTTACGGAAAATTAAACCGTAAGTCATTTTTCAAAAACCACAAAAGAAATTATGTTGATCAGAAAAATGTTTTAAGTTGACCAATCAGTTTTACTCCAACAAAACACTTGAAAATGAGGAAAACATTTTTCGAAAAACATTTTAGGTAAAACAAATTGACCCTTAGGGGGTATTTGGTTCAAGGATTGTGGGATTCCCATGGGATGGGAATCCCACATTCCCATGTTTGGTTAGCCGGGAATCTCATTCCCGGTAATGTTTTATTACCAATAGTAGATTTTTTGGGTATATTATCGGGAATGTCATTACCTCTCTTCCCTTAGGTATTGTAACATTACCGGCGTTTTTGACTAAAATGGTTTTAAATTTTATTTTTTTTCAAAAATATACTTCTTCTGTCATTGAATAATAAAAATTCTACGAAGATTAAATTACAAATTTATCCTTAAATTATTTTAGATTTACAAAAAAAAATCTATAATTAAAATTTTATATGAAGTTCAGAGGTTAAAAAAAATTTACCCTTTCATTAAACATTTTTTATATTTTTAATTTTGTAAAACAAATTATATAAATATTATGAATTTAATTTTTTTAAAGAAAATATATAAATATTTTACAATTTGTAATATTATACAAATATATAATAAGGACAATTTGGTCAAATATACATTCCAATAATCTTTTATTCCTTTAACCAAACACGGTAATCTTACATTCCTGCTAAACCAACCAAACACAAAATACAACATTCTCAGTAATCATATTCCCTGATAATCTTTTATTCCCACTAGCAATCTTTTATTCCAACTGGTAATCTTACATTTCGTGAACCAAACGCACCCTATTTTTATTGTATACTATAGTGGTAGTGGGTCCCCACTCAACCACTTAACTAACTCAAGCCTGCGCTCTTCAATGCAATACGCCGTTCTTTAAAAAATAATTAAATTAAAATTTTTATTATTAGTATTTAATTTCTTAATTAATTAGTCTAAAATAAGCATTGTAGAAATTTATTGTAACATAATTCTCTTAACTCAGTCAATTTATTTATAATGTTGTGATTTGAACATTTGATTAATTTAAAAGACTTAATATTTAATTTAATTTAATTAATTGATTAAATTATTAATATTTTAATTAATTAATACATTTATTGATTCAAATTATAATTAAATATTATAATAATTATAATACCAATTGAATTTTTGTTCAACTGATTATAATTAAACAATTAATTACATTTTTAAATTTTTAAATACTATAAGTTAATATAAATATGACGATGAACAAATATTTACCTAAAGTTCATAATAATAGGAAATCAATAGTTTATTAAACTATTTTCTGAAATATTGTTATTTTCTGAAATGTGATTTTCCCGTAAATCATGTCTATTTGTCATTTTTGTCAATATATCCCATAAATTCCGGCCCATGAAATTCGGTCAATCATTAAGCTTTAACAATTTGAATAATTAAAGTATATATATATCAAATATGTAAGACACGAACCAAACAATTATAGTAATAAAGAAATTGGTGTTATTTATTTTTGTATCTGGTTCTAGCACTATAAATATAAAAAATGTGAGTGTTCAATATCAAATGATTGAGAATTGTCTTCTAACGTAAACTACTTTATATTTACCTCAAATTAAAAATTTACGTCTTTTTAGTAGATGAGATTAAAAGTAGGAAATGATAAGATATTTACTAAAAAAACAATAACATAAATTCAACCGTTGATTTCAACAATGAAATAATTTCAACCGTTGATTTTACTCATCCAATGAATGAGAAATATGTATTAGAGGGTTATAAGAAGATTGAAGAGTGCTGATTGTCGCATAATTTAGATGTTATATTTGGAAGAAGGTCTTGTTAGATCAGTTTATGCCACATAAATAGACCGTCGTAACAAATTTAATTTTGTATACCATTAAAATTATTTATAAATATATTATTTATATAATACTTATCCGGATTAAACAATTAATATATCATATACTAATAATTAAGCTATAAATATTTATATTAAAATTTAATAATTTTAAAGTAATAATACAATAAAGGAGAAACAAATTTAATTTAACCCTTACTGAATATAGGTGTCATCCAAACTTTAACATGTATGAGTAAGTACATTATGGAAATTTCCCATCCCTAAATCTTCAAACTTTCTGCTATATATACGCCCACACCATTTCAATCTTCTTCATCCAATCCCCTCTTCCCTTCTTCATTTCATCTTTGTTTTCACACTTCAAGAGGGGTTTGGTTTTACAGCCCAGAAAACTTCATGGCTAAGCTTGCTGTTGCTTTCTTCTTGGCTCTCATTGCCATATCCATGCTTCAAACAATGGTGGGTACCTTTCCTTTTTCCCAGTTACATTGAAAAATCGAAAGAACATTTAGTATAGAAAAAAAAGTTGCAGACAAAAGGAAAACCTGCAGTTTACAGCAGTCTAATCTTTAGTTTTGTGGTCTTCATTATAGGTAATGGCTTCACATGGAAGAGGAGGTCACCATTATGATCAGGTAAAAGCTGAAGCTTTGAAGATTTCCTTTTTGTCACATTCTGATCTGTTTGTTTCCCTGGAATATTTTGTTCCCCATCTGCAGAAACGTTATGGCCCTGGAAGTCTCAAGATTAACCGTAAGCATACAAGACTTTTCACTTTCAATGTTTTCCTTTTGCTTTCTTTATGTAGAAGATCTGATCTAAAAACGTAGAAAAAATTAGCTTGAAGAAACATGGTCCTGGTAAGATCTGATTCAGGATTCGTTTATACCACTTAAAACTTAGATGAATGAAAATAGACAACTACGATTAACAGTAATAAATAATAATATATTCACATAAAAAAGAAACAATGAGGTAATATCAGTCATCTATTTTTTCTCTAATTCATATATATATATATATTAACCCTTTGATTTTGGTGGAATGAAATGACCAGAATGTCCATCTGAGTGCACAAGGAGATGTAGCCAGACCCAGTACCATAAACCATGCATGTTCTTCTGCCAGAAATGTTGCAGGACTTGCCTGTGTGTGCCTCCAGGGTATTATGGGAACAAACAAGTTTGCCCTTGCTACAACAACTGGAAGACCAAGGAAGGAGGCCCCAAATGCCCTTAAATTTGTTTACTTGGAGGGAACCCTATCTCTAAGTTTTTTTTTAATTCATCTTTTAAGCATGGAATTGTGGCACTGTGATGCTAACTTTATATTTATGATGTTAGTTGTTGCTGGTGTTTTATGTACTTTTTTTTGCAAAATATGTACCAATTTGTCACCCCATTAAATGAGAGTGGCTAATCTTTGCTCTATTTAATTAAAGAAGTTGTTGTTATTTAACTAGAAATTACCCCATTTTCAAAAAAAATATATTATATTGTAGCATAATTGATGTATGATTTATTGATCAATGAATCTGGATTGAACTCTTATATTTATTTAAAAATTTTAATGAGTAACTGATTGTAAATCTTACCTCTTTTATCTTTCTATTTGAAGTAAAATTGAAATAGAGTTCTAGTCAAATTTTAGTGTAATAATACAAATTCATTAACATAAAAAGGGGGCTGATTGGACCTTCTACTCATGGATTCAAAAACTTTAATGCATTTGTTGCATCATAGATTGAATTGGAAATATATAAAATTACGAAGAATTTGGATCAATATTTATCTTTTTTTGTTTTGAAAATAAAATATGTTTGTTAGACATGTTAGGATTTATTTAAAGAAACCCTTTTTAATGGTAATTTGTTCAAAAATAGTCAAATTGTAATATCCAAAATTTTGGAGTGGTGTCTGAAAAATAAAATGTGAAAATTTGGGGATCAAAGTGTAAATTTGTAAAAGTTTAGGGATTAAAAATATAAATTTTCAGAAGTTGTATTATGGGTCTATAAAAGAGTATTTCAACTCAAGAATGAAATTATAATGGGTTTCAGATTTTTTTATATGAAGTTTGTATAAAATTTTATTAAATGATAAAGATTGGTAAACTTTGAAGGAAGTTTGAGGTTAGAAAAATTATATTGATATTTTTAATTAGTATAATTTGATTTGAATTAGTGTAATTTAGAGGAATTTACATGTTAAAGTGGAATAGTAAAATTTAGTGATTAAATTGAATTTTTGGATAATTAGAAGGGAAAAGATGGAAATTGATATATGAGATTTTTATATTTATTTAATGATAAATTATGATTCATTTAGGGTAATTTTGACTAATTTTGACTTTTGGGCCAAAATGATTTTTTTATTCATTTTAAATTTGTTTTAAGACAAATTACGAGATATTTTTGCAAGAAAATTCAAGAGAACTATTCTCTTCTCCAGTAATGAGGTGTATACCGAACCTCCTGCTCAATCTGGGCAGCAGGGAGCTCCGACACCTGAGGGAGCGCCTGCGCCTGATCAAGGGATGTTTTTGCAAGCACTAGAAGCTATTCTGCAGCGTTATCAACCTGTTCCTCCCCCAACTGCACCACCAGCTCCTCTGATGTCTGTTACAAAAGAGTTAAAGAGTTTGGGAGCCCCTGAATTTAAAGGAGAAGCTTACGAAGGTCTGATAATAGAGGATCTTTGGTTGCATGACGTAAAAGTAATGTTGGATGGATTACACTACTCTGACCGTGGGAGATTAGATGGAGTGGTGTCTCTGCTTCGAGTTCCAGCCCCGATGTCGTGGACAAATACCATTATGCATGTTCCTCTGGAGCAAGTCACTTGGCATTTTTTCCTTGAGAAATTTATTAACAAGTATATTGACAAGCAGTTCATTCAGGAAATGAAGCAACAATTTTTAAATTTGAAGCAAGGCAACCGCACTGTTTATGAGTTCGAGTGTGAATTCAATAAGTTAAGTAGGTTTTCCTCAGAGTTGATCCCTACAGAGAAAGATAGATGCTAGTGGTTTATATAGGGTTTGTGTCCTATGTTAAAGGAGTTTATGTTGGTGTGGAGTTGCCGACATTTCAAGAGATTGTGAACAGAGCTAAAGCGTTGGAAAGAGCCCAAAATGAAAATTTTTTAGAATAGATTTCAGTCAGCAAAAAGACAGGGGACATCTTATACTATTGCTCAATCTAAAAAGGGTCAAGGTTCTGGTTACATACCCTAGGATAGATATGAGGGAACTACTTTAAATCTTAAGGGAACTAATGCTGGAAAAGGAAGATAGACTCAGACAATGGCTGCAGGAGCAGACAGATGTTTACAGAGTCAGAGTCAGATTTTACATTGTCAGTTTTGTAGGAGAAATCATATTGGGGTATGCAGAATTGTCCCAAGAGCCTGTTTTCGATGCGGTGAATCAAGACACTATATTCAGGATTTCCCTCTAATGTCAGGAGAGAAATTATTACAGTCCAAGAAATTTGTAGCAACACCTCAAAGAGGTCGAAGTAGAGGTAAAAATTACTTCGTTAGAATCTGCTATATAGACTGAAGGGCGAACCACAACTAGAGTATATAATATCAAGATTAAGGAGGACCGAGACAATCCAGAGATCATCGCAGGTTCCTTTTATCTCTTTGACGCACCTCTATTTGTTTTGATTGACCCTGGCTCTACACACTCATAAATTAGTAAAAAATTAATTAGAGAAAGAGATATTTCCCTAAAATATATTTTGAGTGATATAGTTACGACGAATCCTTTAGGTCAGAGTGCTAAGGTCAAGCGTCTAAATAGAAATTGTTCGCTAAAAATTCAAGGCATCGAGTTTCCTGCAAACTTGATGGAGTTACCTTTCGAGAAATTTGGGATAATTTTGGGTGTGGATTGGTTATCTCTTTACCATGCTATAGTAAATTGTTGTTTAAAATGATCAATACTGAAAGACTCGAAAGGTACAGAGGTAATAGTGGTTGGACAAAAGATGAATCCTTTATCTAATATGATTTCAGTTGTTTCTGCTAAGAAATTGTTGTTGCATGGATGTCAAGCTTTCTTGGCCAACCGTGTTGGATACTCGAACTTCCAAAGTGAGGTTGAAAGATATTACAACTGTTAAGGTGTATCATGACATTTTCCTAATGAGATATCAGGATTACCTCCCGATAGAAAGGTTGAGTTTAATATTGAATTACTTTTGGGTACTTCTCTGATATCGTTGGCTCCATATCATATGACTTTGACTGAGCTTAGAGAGTTAAAGGATCAATTACAAGAGTTGTTGGATCGAGGATTTATCAGGCCAAGTGTATCGCCTTGGGGTGCACCAATATTATTTGTGAAGAAGAAAGATGGATCTATGTGATTATGCATAGATTACCGTCAACTAAACAAGGTGACAATGAAGAACAAGTATCCTCTTGCGAGGATTGATGACCTATGCGATCAGTTAAAAGGCGCAACTATATTTTCTAAGATTGATCTTTGATCTAGGCACCATCAGCTGAAGATTAAAGAAGAATATATTTTGAAGATTACATTTCGGACCCGCTACGGACGCTACGAGTTTGTAGTGATGCCATTCAGTTCGACTATTGCCCCAACGACATTCATAGATTTGATGAACCGAGTATTCCAACCATACTAGGATGAGTTTGTAGTTGTATTTATTGATGTCATTCTGGTTTATTCGAAGAAAAAAAAGAGCATGATGCTCATTTACACATTGTTCTCCAGACACTTAGGGATAAAAAGTTGTATGCCAAGTTATTAAAGTGTGAATTCTGGTTATTGGAGGTAGCATTTCTTGGACATGTGGTATATGCTGAGGGGATTTGAGTGGATCTTCAGAAGGCTAAAGCTATATTGGACTGGAAAGTTTCAAATAATGTTTTAGAAGTTCAAAGTTTCTTGGGATTTGCTGGATATTATCGAAGGTTTGTAAAGGATTTTTCAATGACTGTCGTTCCACTCACAAAGGTATTAAGGAAAGATATTCCATTTATTTTGACAAAGAAATGCCAAAAGAAGTTTTAAAACCATAAAGAAGGTTCTAACAGAGGATCCAGTACATGTACAACCAGAATCAAGCAAGGATTTTGTGGTGTTTAACGACGCGTCTCATAATGGTCTAGGATGCATTTTGATGCAAGATGGAAAGGTGGTAGCCTATGCATCGAGATAACTTAAGCCACATTAAAGAAATTATCCAGTGCATGATCTTGAGTTGGCAGCAGTGGTGTTTCCACTTAAGATATGGCGTCATTATCTATACGGTAAAATGTGTTATATCTATACCGATTAGAAAGCTTAAAGTATCAGTTGACTTAAAAGAAGCTAAACTTGAGAAATAGGATACGAATCAAGTTACTTAAGGATTATGATACGATTGTTGTTTTTTGTGAGTACTATATAATTTATCTAAGTATAAAAATTATATATACACTGATGATGCTTCGGCAATGGAAATGTAAGAGTGAATAAAATGATGGAGATAGAGTGCAAATGAGTGAATAATGTTGTGGCAAAAGAGCATTTTATAATGATGAAAATACTAAGGCAATGTAAAATCGTAAAAACAACAAATAAATAAATAACTTGACAATCCTCACACGGGAAACTACTTCAGAAATGAATGGTAGGAAGACACTTAAGGACACTTAAGGAGTTTGCTAAAAGTGTTCTCGCTATCTCTAGTCATAAGAACCTAACAGAATAGAATGACACGGTATCTCCTCTAAGTCTCAACTATAGCAACCTACACTATTGATGATGCACTACGTCTCTTAGTCGTTAAAATCTTAGCTTATTCTATCTCAAGTACTAATGGATTAGGCTATAGTGATTAACTACATCCCATTGCTTATGTTAATCATTCATAAGTTTCTCTCGAACACTTAAGAATTAGTGACTATATTTTTCTCGAACATCTAGTCTTCGTCTAAGAAAAGGACACTCTCATACCTCCTACAATCTTAGAAGATGAAGCACACATAAACAAAACAAGTAAAAACAAAAGATAAACATTCATCAATCATTGAAATAAAGTTTCAAGCATCCATCAAATGAACCCACAAAATATAGCTTAGTTCATGGTGGGGTTCAAACAAACCATATAGTATATATAATCATTCATTCGACCTTACAACCCAAATAAGATTTCAAGCTTTAACAATAGAGCAAAGGTTGGAGAATAAAGCACTAGGTGTGCACGATCGACACTTACCTCAAACCACCACGAACGACTATAGCGTAAGCTCTTATAGGATGCTAGGCCACTCTCTCGAGCTTCAAAAATGGAGGAACACCAATAAAAATGGAGAAAGATGAACAATAATGGAGGTAGAGAAAATGGAGAAGATGATGATAGATTTTCAAGCTTCCAAAAGTTATCTCTCTTGTGAGGTGTCATTTTAAATAAAA